TATTCCTAAAGCAAGTTCTCACCTTCTAGGAAGGAAAGGGAAAATACTTTCATTAATATTTAACAATCTTCCTGATTACTTCCATTCTCTGATTTTCCCACCAATGAAAGATTCTGATACACCTTACCCCACTTATTCCAGTACCTGATAAGGTACTAGGATGTTATTAATATGGAGAACAAAGGCCAGGCATGGTGGCTTACGCCTGTAATCTCAGAGCTTTGGGAGGCTGAGGCAAGAGATCACTTGAGCCCAGGAGTTCAAGACCAGTCTGCACAACACAGCAAGATCCCCATCTCTACAAAAAACAAAAAAATTAGCTGGGTGCACTGGCACGCACCTGTAGTCCCAGCTACTCGGGAGGCTGAGACAGGAGGATCACTTGAGCTCAGGAGTTTGAGGCTGCAGTGAGCTATGATCAGGCCATTGTACTCCAGCCTGGGTGACAGAGCAAGACCCTGTCTCTTTTAAAAGAAAAAAAAAAAAAGGAGAAAAAAATGGCACAGAGTCAGAAAGAAGTTCCAAAGGCTACCAAGGATATTGAGGAAAGACCACTCAACACTCTTAAAGGAGTAATGTTTCTAAAAAGATGCATTCTATGTATATGTTAAGGCCACTGAACCTTCCTCATAGAATTTCTTGTCCCAAATTGCCCCCAAAAAAGAGCCCAAAGTAGAAATTCTAGTCCCAAATCCCCGCAAAAAGGAGTCCAAAGCAGAAATATGTTTGTGTGTGTGTGAATATAACATAACTTAATGCAATAAACTTCAAAAGCTGTCAATCAAAGGGGGAGAAAAGAAGACTCTAGAACAGAACAAAGTACAACACTGCGCAGCTCAAACTCTGTCCTGCTTCAAGAAGTCATTTGGTTGAGTCAAAAATACCCTGAAAATTCTCACTAACACAGCTGCAAATCAAACTCCTGACACAGAAAAAGTCTTGAGACAATAATTAAATGCAGCTGAAAAAGATAAAGGCGCTAGAAGGAAATTTAAAAATATGAGAAGCGGACAATCCAACATAAGAATAATTGGTGTTCCTGAAAACTAACAAATGGGACATAAGCTATATTCAAAGACACAACACAAGAGAATTTCCCTGAAATGAAAAATTGAATCTACAGATCAAAAGAGCACATCAGAAATGTCCTTGATGATGTCTGTGGTGGGGCAATGGTTACACAGGTACATATGCTGTCAAAACTTAATGAACTATATACTTGAAACAGATATATTTTATTACACATAAATCACATCTTGATAAAGTTGATTTTTAAAAAGAGTACATCAAATTCCAAAAAATTTTAATCTAAAATAGCACCAAAAAATACTTTAATTAAAACTATTGAATTTTGTGGATAAAAAATAGAAATTTTCAGGCAATCAGACAGAAAAAGCAAGTCACTTACAAGGAGGGGAAAAAAAATCAGGCTGGCCTCAGACTTCTCCACAGCAACATTCAATGCCAGAAGACAACAGGACAACATCTACCAAATTCTAAGGAAAAAAAGTGTGACCCAAGAATATAAACCCGGCCAAGACGTAATTCAAGTATAAAGGCAAAAAGCCAGACATTCTCAAACATAAAAGGACTAAAATAAATAAATAAATCAGTTATAGTACTCATGGGCCCTTCTGTCAAAAAAAAGTTAACGAAATCCAGCCAATCTAAAATTAACAACAACAACAAAAAAAAAA